TTTTTTTTCCGATAACATTTTTTTTCCGATACATTTCAATCATTGCAGCCCGTCCAGGCTTGCTTTGTGGCCGCGTGGCACAGGAAACATGCCAGACAGTGTCCAAATGGAGAAACCATCAAAAAGGACTGGGGTTGCTTGGCGTTGGTGCTTCTGCTATTCTTGCTAGCATGGCAGTGTTTCCTTTTTTCTACATTTTTTCTTACATTTCTTCCTTTTTTTTTGCATTTGACATCGCAGATGTTGTCATTGCTGGCAGACAGGAGATGTTGGAAAAGGCAGGTGGTCCTCAAGCCATGACGAAAAACGGCGCCAAATTTCTGATGGCCGTGGCCGTGTCCAAAGTCTTCGAGGCTGAGACACTGGAGGCACCGAAGGCGCCCAATGCGCCCGAGGCGCCCGAGGCCGTGGAGGCGTTGGTCAACGCAACGCTGCTGCCACGGGTGCCGGTGGAAGACGACACCGGTGGCAACGCCGGGGCGCTGTTGGCGGAGTGTGCTGAATTGCGGAGAGCACGGGAAGGGGTGGAGGAGTTGAATTCGCAGCTGCAAGCCAAAGTGGCATCTTGATTTTGGAATTGATTCAATTTGATGTGGAATTTGGTGGAATTTCTGCTTGTGCTGACATCTTGTTGGATGGACATCATTTTGTTTTTTTTTGGATGTTGGGCCCCCATGAAATTTGACCTCCAGAGCGGTTGCCTCGATTCTGAAGGATCGCCATCATTTGTAACATTGAAATGTTACCTTTGGGCTATAATCACCATAGACTATAGTGACTATAGACTATAGAAAATTATTTTTGGTCCAAACCATGCCTAGGAGAAGTTGGATCGCGATTCTTCGGATACGTCGGAGCGCTTACAACGGGCTCTGCGCGAGGTGTCGCGGCTAGAGAAGCAGCTCCAAGAAGTTGCAACAGCCGCAGGATCTGCAGGTGATGCACAACAGCTGCAGGCTGAACTTGCCACATTGCGGGTGGAGAAGACAGAGCCTTGCTGATGGGGGACCTGATGGGGGACGTGGGTTTCATAAAGAATATGTCAACAACAAGTGGGGTTTTCCATAAATGGGCCCCAAAATGGATGATGGAAAAAACAGTAACATGGGGTGATTTGAGGTTCCCCATAGAAACCATTGAACAAATCCCGTTGAGGGAGGGACCTCTGCTGGGCAGCTCCGCCCAGGACATGTGGCGCGACATCGCCGGGCTCCGGGCCGAGAACAACGACTTGAAGGACGACCTGGGCGATGCCAAGAAGGCGCTGCGCCAGGCGGAGGAAACGAGTCGAAATGCCTTGGAAAGGGCGGAGGTGGCGGAGGAAAAGGTGAAGTCCAGTGGCCAAGACGAGGTGAAACAGCTCCGGGAGGACAGAAAAATCACTGATTTTAACAGAGATTTTCCATGAGGGCAAGAGTAAAGGGTTCAACATTAGGACAATTGGTGGTGAAAATGGTAGTGAACTCTCAGAAAGTTGATATTTGAATTTGAAGAGGAGACAACCCCTGGAGGAATTGAAAGAAAGGGAAGCGAAGGAGATGCAATTGGAATCGGATGTTGCAAAGTTACAACATCAGCACGAGGAATCTGAGACTCTTTGCGCTTCCCTGCAGCGGACAGAAGATTCTGCGAAGGAAGCGTTGGAGCAGAGGTCGGAGGAACTTGCCAGGGTAAATGCGGAGAAGCTGCGCCTGCGGGAAGAGGGCGAAGAGTCTCTTGGTTGAAACTTGTTTCATGGGGATTCAACCAATCCAAAGGTGACACCCCCCAGTAAATGATTATTAATCCATATTAATTCCTTAATCAGCTCTTATTATCAATGTATAGATGTACTGTGTATATATATATATACACATTTATCTATATCTATATCTATATCTATATCTATATCTATAGCTATAGCTTTGGCTATATCTCTATCTCTATCTCTATCTATCTATCTACCTATCTATCTACCTCTATCTACCTCTATCTACCTCTATCTACCTCTATCTACCTCTATCTACCTCTATCTACCTCTATCTACCTCTATCTACCTTCATCTAGCTCTATCTACCTCTATCTACATACATACATACATACATACATACATAGAAACATAGAAACATAGAAACATAGAAACATAGAAACATACAAACAAACAAACAAACATACATACATACAAACAAACAAACATACATACATACATACATACATAGAAACATACAAACAAACAAACAAACAAACAAACATACATACATACATACAAAGAAACAAACAAACAAACAAACAAACAAACATACATACATACATACATACATACATACATACATACATACATACATACATACATACATACATACATACATACATACATACATAGAAACATACAAACAAACATACAAACATGCAAACATGCAAACATACATTACATTAAATTACATTACACTACAGTACACTACACTACACTACATTGCATTGCATTGCATTGCATTTCATACATACATACACGCACATATCATGACGTTGATATTGGGGTGGTATAATCTTCATGATGTCAGTGTTAGCCTTGCCAGGTGCCGCCAGGAGTTGCAGAAGGCCCAGCTTCAGCAGCGCCAGCTGGGGGAGGACCTGGCCATGCTGCTGCAGGAGCTGCAGGAGAAGGCCGAGAGCCTTCGAGGCTCTGAGCAAAGGCCGGGGGACCGGGGATGGGGGATGGGGGATGGGGGAATGCAACCAGCAGAAAATGGGGGGTTTACTCTATTGATCTCTGTTTAGATTGATTATATGATATATGATTAATGCCTTGGAGATTAGATGTGAGTTTTTCCCTCTCCAAAAATCTCGGGCTGATCGGTTTTGATGGGAACATCAAGGGATGCCCTGTCCCAAGTTGATGTACCCACATCATGGACACCAGAATTAGTTGCATCAACATCTTGGATCAGAATTCGAGACCAGAGAAATTTGCCCAATGAGGGGCCAACTTCTTCTTGAAGTCTTGCTTTCCTATAGCATCCTATAGCTGTAGCTATGTATATAAGTGGAATTCTTTTCACTCCAACCTGCAAAATATAGGGATGACTCGATATGTAGAATATTTTGCTCTATTTTTTGCGGATGATCGAAATCCGTCTTTGAAACTCAGTTTCGATCGCCGTCCTTCCAGGTGCCAAGAGTCCGAGCTGCGCAGTGTGAATCTTACCCGTGAGCTGCAGATGAGCCAAGAGGAAAGCCAGCAGTTGCAGGAGGAAAGGGGGAAGCTGATGGCTGATGTCCAGGCGGATGCGGCCTGCGGCCACACCCAACTGGTGCAGAGGAAACCATTGATTTTTTTGGGAAACTTGAGAGGAAATGTGAGGATTTTGCACTCCAATTCAAGGGGCTTCATGCAAATCCTCTGCATTCGAATACGAATCAGATTCATTTCTGGGGATCCTGATCCCCAATGATCCTTGTAGAGTGTTGAAACCGTCGATGATAAATCGGGGTTCTAGCAGTGTACTGGGTGAAGGAATGTGCTGGTTCCAGTATAGGACTTCGGCTCTCGACTGATGCGTAGAACCTCCAAAATTGGCAAAATCCTCAGGTAGGCTTCTAGCAGAGCATGGCTTTGTAGCATGCATTGAATACTTCAATCATATATTGGGATACATGACGTGGCATGCCTCGATTTCATCAGTATTTCATGCAACAGGATAGCCTAGACACGACTCTCAAACCTGCTGCGTTCAGGTTGCAGAACGCAAGAACCAACAGCTAGGAGAGGAGAACCAGAAACTGCAAGTCCAGCTCAAATCCTCAGCTGAAGAGTGCGCGCAGTGCGACTTGCCCGTTGGCATTCATGGCAGAAAATCGGTTATCCATACTTTCCACATTGTTCATTCCAAGCGGAAGTCCGGGATCAGTACAGCAGTGGTTTCGTCTCAAGCTGGGTGCACAATTTTCGGCGCCCGGTTGAAAAAAGTATGATCACTGTCTATACTCAGATTTTCGTAGTGGATCTGGCCCATGAAGAGGATGGAACTGGTCAATCTGGTCACAAGTTGCGCTGTGAGGTGAGATGAAAGTTTCGAGCCTGGCAGAACAGTTGCAAGAGACACGGATAGAGATGGTGGAGGCGCCAGACCGGAAGGTGCTGACAGGTAAACGTTTCACCCTCCAAATTCCGTCGCAATGTGAAGCAATGTGAATATTCTTATCCGTGTTGGAAGGATAGACGCAGCTGTCTCAACTTGAATCCCCTTGGACAGCGACTAGAAAGATACTGTACCACTTGACTGGGTATTCAGTACTCCAAAAACTGGATGGTTGGTCATGGTTGGTCATCATTTTACCCGCAAGTTCGGGGCTAATCCCCACTGAAAATGGAGAATTATGACTTCAAATGGCCAGAGAATGGGCGGTTGCCAATGGGTGGTTGCCAATGGGCTTCGACCTCAACCCCAGCTCCAAGCCTGGGTGTGGTGCATAGGAGTCTAGAAAGTCAGAAGAACAGCGCCTGACGTTGCAACAGCAGATGCAGCAACTGAGCCAGGCCCGGCGCAATAAAACCTGCCAAGTCTTTCTTTTTTTGGCGGAGTCCCTCACTCTCAGGGACAATAGCATACTCCACATATATATATAATTATATACATAATAATAATAACAATAATAATAATAACAACAATAACAATAATAATAACAACGATAAAAACAATAATGATGATAATGATTATGATGATGATAATAATAATGATAATGATAATAATAATAACAATAATAATGACAATACTAGTAATAATAATAGTAATAATAACAATAGTAATCATAATAATATACATAATAATAATAAAACCATAATAATAATAATAGTCATATAATAATAATAGTAATAATATATACAATTTAATATATATATATATAATATACTTATTCTAAGACACATTATTATTATTATTGATAATATATAGTATGCATATATAATATATAGATGCACTGATATACAGCATACCCACATGCACATGATAAGCAGGACCTGCGAGCTGTGGAACGGCAGAACGAGCTCCAGGACGAGTCGTTGCAGAAGGTCCAGGGCGAGTTGGTTGCTGAGAGGAGCAGCACGCAGGACGGGAGAAGTGGATATTGCACAAAATCAGGGGATCTCACATGTAGAATATATATATATATTATAAATATAGGTACATGGTACTGATAATGAATAGTAACTTTTTTTGTTGTTATTCTTTTCCCTTCTTATTAATTAATTAGTTACTCATATGTATAGATACGTGTATGTATGTATGTATGTAATGTAATGTAATGTAATGCAATGCAATGCAATGCAATGTAATGTAATGTAATGTTATGTAATGTATGCATGCATGCATGCATGGATGTATGTAATGTATGTATGTATGTATGTATGTATGTATGTATGTATGTATG